ATCGTGAGAATTTGGAGAAGGGGGGAGGGAGTGAGAATTGCTGTTGTGAGCCGAAAAGTCAAAGGGAATTCAACCGGGTCCTAATTAAAGGGATGTCCTCCAGAGCCAGACTGGGCTTGGGTGGTGCTGGGCTGAGATATTCATTCCCTGGTGTCCTCGAAATGAGGACAATGAACTTTGGGGAAAAATCTTCAGCCCTCTGCCTGAAGGAGTAGTCACCAAGAACTGATGATAGAGTCCAATAGTTGCAAGACAAGTACCCTCTGAAGGAGTACTGTGCGGCATCAATCTTTACTTTTGTTAACAGCTCATTATCATTTTACATGGTCATAATAGCATTGGAAAATAAGTTACGTTTAGTCGGCATGGCGATGACCGAGGAATTCTCCATATTGCTAATCAATGTTCCAAGGATTTTTAAGATGTAAAATTATTATGATGCTTTAAGACACCACTTTCATCTATGGTCATTTCACTCTTGCAATACTTTGCTACAAATCAGAATGGGACTTCTAAGTGAAAAACGTAAAAGCGATCAGTGCAGCAAAATTCGAGGTCAAGAATTAAGTGCAATTTGATGTTAGGACCTTAACGTGGAGGCTGGGTTATGGCTAGCACACAGATGTCGATACCACCATGTCAAATGATGATGACATCATCATCTATCAGAATTAAGTTTCAAGGCACTGCAACAGCCAATTCAGCCTAAAGGGTTACCTCCAGGCCAGAATGGAAACACACGCACGCACGCACACACACACACACACACACACACACACACACACACACACACACACACACACACACACACACACACACACACACACATTCACGCACACTGTACAATGCCTCTGATCGATATGATCTTTCGAACTGTCGAAACAGATCTAATTTTTGACCAAAATATTCCTAATTCTGTCCAAGATTTTACGGTGGCAATTTAAAGCAGACCAAATCCTGGCAGTCAAAACGGCTGTGAAAGCACTGTGAGCAACGGATTATGTTTATAGCATTGTTAGCACTAAGGCCCACATTGGCCGCCTTGTTTTAACAGGTTAGACTTTTTAATAATACTCAATACAGTGCTTTCTGACAAAATGTCTGCCTTCTCACTGTACATTACACATAAATAAAAACTTCATCTGGTACACCTGCACAGTCAAATTAAACTCAAGAGCTACTGTATATCAATAACTGCACCTTTGCCAGGCAAGTAAAGAAAGCATCATCTACCACTATATATGTTTCTGTTGTTTCAGTGTTTTGTAAGTGCCGTGAGCTGTTTCATAACTTTCAAAAAACAGTACACAGCTTCTGTGACCATGTAGTTTGTCCAAGTCTTGTTTCCATACCATATTGACATGGATGATGGACATCATCCAATAATTGGATAAACAATTATTAGAACGCTTCCCGATCCTGGTACAGTTTCATTCTGCAGCAGGGTATAATTTTGACAGAAATGGGAGTCGCAGTCAGTAGTCGGGTTTACATGAAGAGCTTTTTAAAACAAGTTCTCCTGTCGCAGATGAGCTCTGGTGGGACGCTGCCATTTTCAAGTGTGTAAATGACGATGTCATTACATATTTACACCAATACAGAGCATGTAGAGACCGCACCCAGCCTGGCTATTCCGTTTGAATTGTTTCCATGACGTTTGTTTGGCCCGGCAAAAGGACTATACCACCCGTGTGAATCAGAATAAATTCCATTCGGATTTAATTAAATCGGAATACAAGGCCCCATGTAAACCTGACTCGTGCCATTCCGTTTCAAATAACCCAGTTTAGATTATTTAAAAAGCATCAATGTACAAATGAGCAATGAGTCTAAATCCCAAGGCAGATGGTGTTTAAAGATAACAAATGTTGTAGATTGCAAATGCCTGAAAAAGCCTGAACTTATTGGGCTGTGTTGTATTATTGAACGTAAGACAAAGAATACATGTGCATGAGCCATACATATCATGCAATAAACTTTCTGTGTACATCTCCAACGTGATGTTCTGAATATGGCGAGACAAGATGGCTGCCAGGCAAAGGAGACAGATGTTTGGTTAGTCTGACCTCAGTGGTTCACCCGAGGAGCCAAACTGCTGACATCAGTCCATCTGCACTTGTCTGTCATGAGCAACTCATTCATCGAGTTGTGCTGGTGGCCACACTGGCCTATAAACCAGACGTTTAGATGTCAAAGTCAACCTGATTGAGCAGCGGATGATGCAGACATTTTTTTTCCCTCCACAGTGCATCCCCCTCAAGGTAAGATCAATAGCACTCTGGTGTACATGGATTGTCAAATTAAATTTAAGTTGTTTGAAATGATGACTAGTTGTGCAAAATTGGCTTGTACTTTGTGATGGGCAGAGGTGAAATTGAGTATGGAGTGGGGGAGGGTCACCCTGGGCGAGAATGATCGTCTGGGTCCAAGCTAAAGAAGACAATACCAGTAAGGGCAACAGTTGCCGTTCTGATAAGTCATGGCATCTTTCGGGGCCTAACTACAATGGAGCAGCGAGAACATTTTCAGCTCCCCCATACAAAATTTTCAAAAAAAAAAAAAAAAAAAACAACCCAGAGGTGCAGACAGAGACACAGACATAAAGACAGTCCTTGCACTCAATCCAGAAATTCAGCGAAGCACATATTGTATTGCACTCACTGGAGGTACATTTAATCTTCCTCACATTCAATATGTCTCTCTCTCTCTCTTGTTTTTTTTTTTTTTTTTTTAAAAACAGGTCTAAAAAATATCGGTTAGAGTGTTTTTCTTCTCTTTCCAGTTCCATGCTTATCCATTGTGGGACTTTCTCTGTGCATACATCCGATTTGAAGTCGTTTTAATAGGACGCTGATTGGATTTCATCTGCTACTTTTCACTGATGATATACTGCAGCAAGTTTTGAATTCGGTCATTCTTGGTTTAGCCGATTTAAAACTAATTTAAATTCACTTTGTAAATTAACACTTTGAGCGCCGTTGATGTGAAATACCGTCAACAGCAATTGTCGACATCAATCTCCATCAACTGCTTTTTTCTGTGGAAATGGCTGGAGAAAGGTTTTGGCAAAAGCATTGCATTTTTTCGGGGGGATCTCACTGTTGTGGGTAAGCTCTTAAATCATGTCTGACCTCAGAAATACAACCGTTACAAGCAGCTAGTGATTGATCAAAGTGTTTGTCACGTGAAATCTATGAAAAATAGTGTCACAAAAAGAGAAAAAACAATGGGGATTATTTTAGAAGGTGAAATTAGGACATAATGTACACAGCAACACACACACACACACGCACGCACGCACGCACGCACGCACGCACGCACGCACGTACATGGCACGCACACACACTACTAAATACTACTACTACTAAATAGGGTGCAAATATTTAGTTTTTCAAATTGCTTCACTGGAAATTCATTGTGAATACATAATTTATGATCAAAGAAGAGAATCAGATATTAAATGTGGTTGTTTGGGTGTTTACATAAAACAATATTCTATGATCCTTGAAAGATCAGTCAGAATGCTCTAAACCACATATGTCAAAGTGCCGGCCCGCGGGCCGGATGTTTTCTGTGGCCCCTGGGATGATATTGATTTATTATTAGAACCGGCCCGCGGACCGCAGCAAGCCGAG